GGGAGGGGGGGGGGCGGGGTCGGTCACGCGCGTGATCCCCGGGTTTTTTTCGAACGGGCTCAAGTTGGAGGCGGCCAGAGGGTCTGAACTGGGTGGGACCCCAGAAAATCGGTCAGGAGGGGTGGATGAGGCAAGATCCGCTCAAGATCAGTACCCAAACCCCTCTCGGGGTCAATCTGGTGCAGCTTTTCATCCCCAGATCCACGTCTCACGGCCCTGAGTCCCGAAAACGACCCCTGGAGGCCAAAAGAAACAAAAGCCTTCCCCGATCCAGTACCATCCTGCCCGCCCATCCTGCTGGCCGTCGGGACTACCGCACTGTAGCCTCCATGTCACCAGCATGAGGAGAAGGAGGACGAGGGGCCTTTGGTGGGGCTCCCTATGGGGCCGCGAAACGCTGTGCTGGGTGGGGGAGACGCATGCGAACACCGCCATTGGGGCCTTCGGTGGAGCTCCCTGTGGGGCCACGAAACGCTGTGCTGGATAGGGGAAACGCATGCGAACACCGCCACTGGGGCCTTAGGTAGGGTTCCCTGTGGGCCATGAAACGCTGTACTGGGTGGGGGAGACGCATGCGAACACCGCCACTGGAGCCTTAGGTGGAGCTCCTGATGGGCCATGATGATGATGATGATGATGATGATGATGATGATGATGATGATGATGATGATGATGATGATGATGATGATGAAAAAGAAGATGAAGATGAAGATGAAGATGAAGATGAAGAGGATGATGATGATGATGATGATGATGATGATGATGCTGATGATGCTGATGATAATGATGATTATGATGATGGTGGTGATGATGATGATGATGATGGTGATGGTGATGGTGATGATGATGATAATGATGATGATGTTGATGATGATGTTGATGATGATGCTGATATCATGAAGATGGTGATGATGATGATGATGATGATGGCGATGATAATAGTGATGATGATGGTGGTGATGATGACGACGATGATGATGATGATGATGATGATGCCGGTGGCGACGAGGAGGGCAGAGGCAAGGAAGGGGAGGGAGGAGGGGGAGGAAGGAAGGAAGGAACGCGGGGAGCTCTCTTCAAAACGAGGACACAACACCACAAGATGATAGAGAAAGAACTAAGAATTTAAGACAACAAAACAAAACCGAAAAGAACGGAAAACGCACAACAAACAAATGCATAAGCAAAAAAACGGCGCCAGAACCGTGGACGCCTATCATTCTGCGCCATTACCCGAGCTGGACCATTACCCGAACTGGATCGATCCGTGAGGGACCCCGGGGGCCCAAAGTACGGTAGAATCGCCCGTTGTGACAGGATTGCGACGCCAGGATCTCAAGAGAGTCGTCGACGTCGACATCGTCGACGTCAGGGTTCATTTGACTTGTAAGGCCCTCCAGCGGCCGTTCGGGACGAGCCGGGCATCCCAGGAACACCCTCGGCGAGGCGCAGCTGCCAGAGGGCCCCCGCGAGGCTGGAAGGCTGCTGGGAGGCCAAGAGAAAGCACCACACAAACTCGAGGCGCGAACCTCGAGCCTCGAGCCTCGACATTTTCTCTGCGCCGTCGTCGCCGGTCGCCGTCTTTGGACGCCCGAAATGGGTACGGAAAAATGGGTACCGTGCCCAACAACAAATGCGGTCCCAAACCAACAGCGGCCGCTGTTGGGCAGGCGGCCTTCTGCCTCGAATGGACACAGGCCGCGGCGGCGCAGACAGCGAGTCCTGTCCAAGATGAACAGGAACTGCTGTTGGGCATCGTACCCATGTTTTCCGTCCCCATTTCGGGCGTCCAGACCGTCGGCGGCGGCGGGTGGGCTCCCGGCCCTGGCCGGAGGAGCGCCGCCTCCGCGCAGGGCGCAGCAGCCTCCCCAGCGCGCCGCCGAGCGAGCAGGCACCGCACGCGGGCGCCCCGCGCCCGAGCGGGAGGCGCTCGTCCTCCTCCTGCGGGGCGCCAACGGATGTGCAGTAGGTTCCGCGCGGCGTCGCCCTCCTCCTCCTCCTCCTCCTCCTCCTCCTCCGCCTCCTCCTCCTCCGCCTCCTCCTCCGCCTCCTCCTACTACTACTCCTACTCATACTCCTGTTCCTACTCCTACTCACTGGCTCCTGCTCTTACTCCTCCCTACTCCTCATCCTCCTCTCCTCCTCCTCCTCCTCATTCCTCCTCCTCCTCCTCCTCCTCCTTCCTCCTCCTCCTCCTCCTCCTCCTCCTCCTCCTCCCTCCTCCTCGTCCTCGTCCTCGTCCTCCTCGTCCTCATCCTCCTCCTCATCCTCCTCCTCCTTCCCCTTCACCTCCTCCTACTCCTCCTCCTCCTCCTCCTCCTCCTCCTCCTCCTCCTCCTGCTGCGGGGCACCAACGGATATACTTAGGTCGGGCGTGTCCCCCTACAGGCGGAAAAATGAAAGATCTCAAAAAAATACCCCAAACAAATTCAAAAAGTAGTCGAAAAATCGCCCCCTGACTATTTTGACCATTTTTGAAAATTGCTCCTGTAGAGGCACAGGCCCGACTTAAATATACGGTAGGTTCGCGCGGCGTCGGCACGCGCAAAAGTTTTTCTGACAGCGCGTCGATCGTTCACTCTTGAATCGATCGCGGCCCCGAGCGTTCAAAGTCGAATTCCGGCGTCACCGTGTCCCTCGGTACTTCCGCGTCGCAGATTTCAGCTCCGAACGAATTCCCTGGCGACGCTGGCGCACCATCGCCGCATGAACCTACCGTACTAGCACTGTGTGCTGATGCTAGAGGCGAACGTCCGACACTCCGACACGGTCGTATAGTACACAAACAATCCCACCAGCTCTTTGGGCGACGGGTGGTCAAGATGAACTCCAAGATGGCTCAAGATAGCCCAAGCTGGCCAATGGGCCCGTCGCCGTTTGACTATGCGTGTCTCTTCCTCTCTCCCCCCGTCAGCTCTCATGGGCATCGTTTCTGGATGGGCTGGCGGGGATTTTGTTTGATCGCGACCGCGGCGAAGAAAGGTCGGGCGGCGTCCAGGGAATTGCAAACTAGCAGCGGCCTAAAGGAGCGCCATCCAAGGGGGTTGACGATGTTCTGCCCCCCCGGCATCCCCTCGTCCGTCATGTACTCGTTGATGCACTCGCGGATCTTGGCCTCCATGGAATCCAAAGCCAGAAGCGCGGTCTGTTCAAGGGACGTGCACAGGCGTTCCAGTTTGTCCACCCTGACGTCGTTCAAGTTGAGGCGCTCCTCCATGTGGGCCAAGCGTGCGCTCAGCGCCTCTTTCATCTCAGTGTACTCGCCGCGCAGCCCGGCAACGGCCGAGGTGACTGGGGCGAGTTGCTGCTGGAGGAGGGCCGCCATAGCAGCCATTGTCACCGGCTCCTGAGCGGAGATGAGCTCCTCGTCCTCGTCCTCGTCTATCTCCTCGTTCTCGTTCCCGGCCATGCGGATGTAGGCAGAATGAACACCCTCACGCCCAACTCCTTCCCCGAGCAGTGGAGAATGGGGTCCTTGTACCATGCGCGGGAGCTTCATCTTCTCCCAGGGGTTCTTCGTGAGCACGTCCCAGTCGGGGGTACCTGCAAGCAGGGTGCTTTTACGTCCTGGCTCGGGAGATGACGCTTCGGGCATGGCACTCGTAAGCTCTCCCTCGAGGTTCAGGGGAGCACGGATGTCATCATTCAAGCTGGAAGACAACATCCGTGTTGCGAGACGGCGGCAGACACGGGTCTTCGAATCCCGGGCACGGGTCTTGGAATCCCGGACACGGGTCTTGAGGTCTGAAGGTCTTGAACAGCTCTTGAGCCAATTTCCCACTTGAGCCAAAGGGGTGCGCCGTAAGGGACTGCGACGCCCACACGCGAACGGAGCAACTGGGGCCCCCGGTGGAGCTCCTGAGGGGTGTGCCGAAATGGTTGACACGCGGAGGGCAGAGGAAGGGATGTGAGGAGGGAGGGAGGCGGCAGCGGGAGGGCGTGGTGCGCGGCGCTGCGGGTGAAAAGCGAGGACCGGACAAAACCGGATGGTCGGGCAAAACTTAGGACAAATCAATGTGTTGAACCAGGCTGTCATACACCATGCACGGAGAGGGCGCCATGCCCACTGGACGTCTTCGGGGGAGAGGGAAGAGTAAAATTCATATTGAGGAACTACGGAAGGAGGAGGGAGAGGGAGGGAGGCGCAGCAAATTACAACGCCCGCGAAAGGGCAGACAGACATTGGGCAACAGAGAACGAGGAGGGAAGAGGAAAGAAAGAGGAGGGAGGAGGCAAGAGGGAGGGAGGGAAGGAGAGAGGAGGAGGGAGGGGATGACGAGGAGAAAGAGGGAGTAAAGGGGAGGGAGGGAGAGGACGAGAAGAGAAGAAGGGGAAGAGGAGGGCGGGGAGAGGGAGGAGGGAGGAGGAGAAGGGAGACCAGTGTAAACCCAAGACGCATCAACGATGTTGCAATAAACATCCATGAACCCTCCCTCAAAGTCAACTCTTCATAGGTCTCGAAAACAGCTTGTCTCATCGCTGCAAGTGGCCCATTGGAAGACGACTGCCTGAGAAGGAGGACGAGGACGACGACCTCGCCCCAGGGGGGGGAGAGGGGAAGGGAGGGAAGGAGGGGGGGGAGGGAGGTGGGAGGAAGGCAGGGAGGGAGCAGGCAGGGAGCAGGCGGGGAGCAGACAGGAAGCAGGGGGGGGGGGAAAGAGGGAGGAAGGAGGGCAGAAGGACGACGACGGAACGAACGAACGAACGAACGAACGAACGAACGAACGACGACGACGACGACGACGACAACGACGACGACCTCGCCCTGGCCGGGGGCCACGGCCGGCTCCTGGGCGCTCTCCGCGCCGGCGAGGAGCGGCGCGCGCAGCAGGTCGGGCTCGCGGGGCGGCGCCTCGCGCGCCCGCTCGCGGGCCCGCGGGGCCGGGGGGGTTATCGCCACGCGCCGCCGCCCGACGTCCGAGTGGATCGGCTGCAGGGCCACTCCTCCTCCTCCTCCTCCTCCTCCTCCTCCTCCTCCTCCTCCTCCTCCTCGTCCTCGTCCTCCTCCTCCTCCTCCTCCTCCTCCTCCTCCTCTTCCTCCTCCTCCTCCTCCTCATCCTCCTCCTCCTCTTCGCCGCTGACCGCCGCCGATCGGTTGCAGGGCCCGTGAGCCGTGTTTTCCGCTTTCGTACTGTGTGTTAGTGTGTTTCCATCGTTTCGTCTTCGCGCTGCTCTGCTGCAAAGTCGACATCGAAACGAGAACGGGCATGGAGATCGCCAGAGCACCGTTTAGCTTGAGCGCTGATCGGTGCCCGAGGCGCTGGATGTAGACTTTGAGAAAAGGGCGACCGCCCCAACACTCCTGTCGGCTCACCACGTCACGTTCTTAGAACATAGGATTAAGTCGGGCCTGTCCCCCATACAGAGGGATTTTCGACGAAAAAAAAAAAAAAAAATCAAAAAAAAAAAAAAAAAAAAAAAAAAAAAAAAAAAAAAAAAAAAAAAAAAAAAAACATACCCTGTGAAGTACCCAACCCATTTGTATCAATGGAAACGAGGAGTTGGCCGAAACTTGTATGGACAATCAACTTGATGTGTAAGTTACTTGGGAGGCGTCACTGTGCTGGGCCCCGCCAGCAGGCCTCGAAAGTGGCGACAGTTTCACAGATCGCAACCCCCCAGGGATGGCGAGGTCTAAATTGAATCTGCGTGTGGCATCACTGTGCTGGGCCCCCCAGCAGGCCGCGAAAGTGGCGACAGTTTCACAGATCGCAGCCCCCCAGGGATGGCGAGGTCTAACTTGAATCCGCCGTGTGTACCCACTGTGCTGGGCCCCCCAGCAGGCCTCGAAAGTGGCGACAGTTTCACAGATCGCAGCCCCCCAGCGATGGCGAGGTCCAATTTGAGTCCGCCGTGGGTACCCACTGTGCTGGGCCCCCCAGCAGCCCTCGAAAGTGGCGACAGTTTCACAGATCGCAGCCCCCAGGGATGGCGAGGTCTCATTTGAATCCGCCGCGCCACTGTGCTGGGCCCCCCAGCAGGCCTCGAAAGTGGCGACAGTTTCACAGATCGCAGCCCCCCCGATGGCGGTCTAATGGCCCCCAGCCCCCCAGCCCAGTTTTTGGCGAGTCCGCCGTGGGCAGACTGTGCTGGGCCCCCCAGCAGGCTCGAAAGTGGCGACAGTTTCGCAGATCGCAGCCCCCCAGGGATGGCGAGGTCCCATTTGTCGCCGCGGGTGCAGACTGTGCTGGGCTGGGAGGTCCCAATCCGCCGTGGGTACCCACTGTGCTGGGCCCCCCAGCAGCCCTCGAAAGTGGCGACAGTTTCGCAGATCGCAGCCCCCGAGGATGGCGAGGTCCCATTTGAATCCGCCGTGGGTACCCACTGTGCTGGGCCCCCCAGCAGCCTCGAAAGTGGCGACAGTTTCGCAGATCGCAGCCCCCCAGGGATGGCGAGGTCCCATTTGAATCCGCGCGGGTGCAGACTGTGCTGGGCCCCCCAGCAGGCCTCGAAAGCGGCGACAGTTTCACAGATCGCAGCCCCCCAGGGATGGCGAGGTCCCATTTGAATCCGCCGCGGGTGCAGACTGTGCTGGGCCCCCCAGCAGCCCTCGAAAGTGGCGACGGTTTCGCAGATCGCAGCCCCCAGGGATGGCGAGGTCCCATTTGAGTCCGCCGCGGGTGCAGACTGTGCTGGGCCCCCCAGCAGCCTCGAAAGTGGCGACAGTTTCGCAGATCGCAGCCCCCCAGGGATGGCGAGGTCCCATTTGAGTCCGCCGCGGGTGCAGACTGTGCTGGGCCCCCCAGCAGCCCTCGAAAGTGGCGACAGTTTCGCAGATCGCAGCCCCCCAGGGATGGCGAGGTCTAATTTGAATCCGCCGCGGGTGCAGACTGTGCTGGGCAGGCCTCGAAAGTGGCGACAGTTTCACAGATCGCAGCCCCCCAGGGATGGCGAGGTCTATTTGAATCCGCCGCGGGTGCAGACTGTGCTGGGCCCCGCCAGCAGGCCTCGAAAGTGGCGACAGTTTCGCAGATCGCAGCCCCCCAGGGATGGCGAGGTCCCATTTGAGTCCGCCGCGGGTGCAGACTGTGCTGGGCCCCCCAGCAGCCCTCGAAAGTGGCGACAGTTTCACAGATCGCAGCCCCCCAGGGATGGCGAGGTCTAATCTGAGTCCCCGTAAGACGTCACTCCGCTGCCCCCCCCAGCAGCCCTCGAAAGTGGCGACAGTTTCACGGATCGCAGCCCCCCAGCGATGGCGAGGTCTAATCTGAGTCCCCGTAAGACGTCACTGTGCTGGGCCCCCCAGCAGCCCTCGAAAGTGGCGACAGTTTCACAGATCGCAGCCCCCCAGGGATGGCGAGGTCTAATCTGAGTCCCCGTAAGACGTCACTGTGCTGGGCCCCCCAGCAGCCCTCGAAAGTGGCGACAGTTTCACAGATCGCAGCCCCCCAGGGATGGCGAGGTCTAATCTGAGTCCCGTAAGACGTCACTGTGCTGGGCCCCTCAGCAGCCCTCGAAAGTGGCGACAGTTTCACGGATCGCAGCCCCACAGCGATGGCGAGGTCTAATCTGAGTCCCCGTAAGACGTCACTGTGCTGGGCCCCCCAGCAGCCCTCGAAAGTGGCGACAGTTTCACAGATCGCAGCCCCCCAGGGATGGCGAGGTCTAATCTGAGTCCCCGTAAGACGTCACTCCGCTGCCCCCCCCAGCAGCCCTCGAAAGTGGCGACAGTTTCACGGATCGCAGCCCCCCAGCGATGGCGAGGTCTAATCTGAGTCCCCGTAAGACGTCACTGTGCTGGGCCCCCAGCAGCCCTCGAAAGTGGCGACAGTTTCACAGATCGGGAAAGGGAGGAGAGGAGGGGGACGGGAAGGAGGAGGAGGAGGAGGGAAGACGCGACCGCAGTGCTCTATTCAAAACGAGTGCCCAACGCAGGAGGGTTGGGAATAGTCGGGGGGGCTATTTTTTTAAGTATGTTTTGACCTTCTTGGGGTATTTTTGTGATATCTTTTATTTTTCGTCGAACATCCCCCTGTAGGGGGACACGCCCGACATAAACATAGGATGCTCAAACAGTTCGCTGGAACGGGCCAGAAGCGCAATATAATCTCCGGTGCAGAATGTCAGAATGTTCCTGCAGGTGCCCAAGAAGCCCCTATCGCCTTTCCGAGTGCCCCAAGGGGGTGAATCCGAACAGACAGATCGAGCCTCCCTCGAAAGTTGGCCTCCGAGACCACCAGCAGGCCCGCAAGAAACTCTCAAAAGGCCCTCAAAGCCCAAAAGGATGCCCCACAAGGGCCCCCAAGAGGCCCCGGGAGGTCCCCAAAAAGCCGCCAAGAGGACCACGAGTAGCTTCAAAAGAGACCCCAAGAAGCCTTCCTAAGAGGCGCCTTGTCCGAGACCCAGTTTGGTCCCAATAGGGATCCAAGAAGCCGTCGAGAGGGCTCCTCCTCCTCCCCAGACGAGTCCCCATATCCTCCTTTTCGCCCGGTATGGGCACACCAATGTTTAGCAACAGTGGTGCAAGACGGCCGGCGGAATGACCGAAGCGATGAACATAAGGACAAACGTGCTTACATCATAGATCAAAACTCTGAGAACAGCACTGGTTCCGCCAGGCATGGTACAACAATCTTCTCTTCAACAGACACACACACACACAAACTTGGAGAGCGCCAGAGTCACAATGATACGGAGGTCATGAACCTGATGAACGTGATACATGTGGACTACGTGCACGTGTCTGCAGGACTTCCCTGGCTTCCTGCGAACGAACGCTGCTGTACCAAGGGTGTGGACCAAGACCCAGCAGAGTGTCCTTGGCAAAGCAAGGACAGAGCGCCAACCCGACTTGATGGGAACTGTTGCACGCAGATGTGGCCATTTTCGCTTACCCTGTTGCACGTCAAGCGATCCATTATGTTTATCTTGCTGCTTCTCGACGGCCCCTTAGCAGCAGGGGCACCACAACGAGGTTCTGACAACTGTTCGTAGAGGACTGGCCGATAAGCAGACCAAAACGCTCCGCCACCGCTGGAATGTATTCCCAACCTCGGATCATTGCCCATGCTCTCCTGTGATCGCCAGAAGCGCCTCCGCTCGCCACTCCCGCCATGCCGCGTCCTGGCAGGGGGGAGGAGAGCAACTGGCCGGAGCGCCCTCTGGCGCAGCGCTGGATTCGGACTCGGACGAGTCAGCACGAAGGAGACGGGTCCCGGAGGCCTCGAGGACGGGGGTCCTGGGAGTTCTTCCCCGCTTTCGGGCCTCTGGTGCCCTCCACGGGCCCTGGGACAGTCGAAAGCATACTCGTGGTGAAGGACGGGTCTGGAGACAGCCCTCAATTCTGGGACCCCTTTCCCTCAGGACCCCTTTCCTTCATGCAAGCTCAGTCAGCATCGAATCGAACAATCGGAACAAACCGAAATGTGCGTCGGATCGGGCCGCATCGGCACGGAGTCGGAATCGGATCGGATCGGCTGCACCAGGATGCAACAGCGCCGTGCAAGCATCGGGCCGCAACGGATCGTCGAAATACAAGAATCCAGTCGGATCGAGCTGGCTGGAATCGGTATCGAATCGGATCGACATGGAACCTGAGTCGTTGGGCGTTCGACGAGGATTCCAATCGACCTGAGGAGGGCGAGGCGACGGCGGAGAAGCGAAAGAGACGTGAAGAGGGGGGAAGAGGAGGACAGGGAGGATGCTGCGTGAAAGCTAAGCCGTTCTCAAGAGTCGAGCTACTTACGAGCGGCCTGGTGTCGCGAACGCTCGAACAGTGGACAAAAACAGCTGATTGGTCATATCTCTCGGTTGGCTCGTCCCACAATCGAACGCAGGAGGACGGCGACGGCGACGATCAACACCTCCGACACGACGACAACGACCACGACGACGACCACAGCGACGACGGCGACCACGACGACAACGACGACGACCACCACGACGGCGTGAACGACGACGACGACGACGACGACGACAACGTCGACGACGACGACGGTGGCGGCGGCGGCGAAGGCGACGACGACGGCGGCGACAGAGGAGGTAGAAGGAGAAGGGAAACAGCAGGCAAACCCAAACCAGGATGTTGACCCCAAACAGTGCGTGGTTGCACTGTGGAGGTGGAAGCTACGCGGTGTAAAATGTGTGGCAGCTATACAATGTAAGCTATTTGGTACACACTAGGGAGGTGGAAACTATTCGGAATAAGATATGTGGTCAACGCCATGTCATGGAAGGGAAGCCATTCGTTGTGAATTATGGAGGTGGAAACTATGCGGTGCAAGTTGTGTGGCGTAAGCTATGTCGAATTAGTTATGCGGTATGAACGATGAAGGTGGAGTGCAAGATATCGGTTGTGAGATATGTGGCGGGAAATATGTTTTGCAAGATATGCGGCGCTGTAGTGTTAGCATTCTGGTGTCATCTAGTAGTGATATTCTCTTGCCAAACATGAAATTGTCAACTCCACTGCTCGCGCAATCATCCCACCCACCCACACGCAACTTGGTTTGCAAAACCCCTGCGGGAGCGATTGCGATGAGTGCTGGGAGTTGGCTGGTGCATCCCTGCGGCCGCGCTAACCCGCACATGCTCGCGCGCGCAGCGGCCTGCTAGTTTGGCGCGACCGACGTGAACGCGGTGGCGATGACCGCTCGGCACATCCCAGCGGGCACTTCAGTGCGAGTCGGCGACTTGGGCGGGCGCGGTACCATGGCAACGTCGACAACGGTAGACACGATGATGATAGTGGCGATGCTGGTGACGATGCTGACAGCGACGACGGTGTGGCCAGTGACGGCGCCGATGCTGATCACGCCGACGACGATGACGGCGATTTCGAGTCGGTGATGAAGGATTTGGCAAAAAATCGAAATATGCGCGCGGCAGACGCGCGAGAGTGGCTCGCATGGTATCATTTGACACGGATCGTGCCACCCCAGCACGCGCACAAGGGCGTTCGAACGATTTCGACATGCGCGCGCGAAGCCCGTTTGGTAGCCCTTTTTTGAAAATGTTGACAACTCATGGTTTTCTAAAGAATTCGCAGGAGCGCGCGCGCACGCTTTTGTTGAAATCCGTGTTGCGGAACCCTGTGTTTTTATATCTTTTAAACACTCGATTTTGAAATCCGTCCGAAAGCAGAGGTTTTTGAAGGATTTCGGCATGCGCGCGCGACGACGCGCGCGTGCGCACTTCGTCCTATTTGTTGCAAGAGATGTTTGGAAACATCGGATTTTTGATAAACGAGTGCGCGCGCATAGCATTTCTTGCAGAGGATGGCCGGGGGGTGCCGATACCGGCCTGGCTGGGATAGTATGGATTCACAGGTAGGGTGGACATTGGGTCAGAATCAGATGTGTTTTGCATCGGTTCCCGGGGAATCGATAAGTCCGGGGGACTGGGGGGGGAGTAGAACCTATCTCTCTTGCACCTACTCCTCCTCGTCCTCCTCCTCCTCTTCTTTGTCGTTAGACCGACCTGAGCGTCCGCCTCTTCCTCCTCCTCCTTCCTCCTCCTCCTCCTCCTCCCCCTCCTCAAGAGGAGAGCCTCCGTCGCAGAAGCTCGGAGCACGAGGCGCACGCGGGGCGCCCACGCGGCCGCACGGGCGGCGGCGCGGCGGACACCCACGATGGCCCCCCAGGCGCGGGGCACCCACGAGGCGCCCACGAGGCGGCCACGCGGCGCAGACCCATTGGGTAAAACACCCCCCAAGCGCGGGGCGCCCCCGAGGCGCCCACGAGGCGCCCACGGGGCGGCAGCGCGACGCAGACCCGTACCCCCCCAAGCGCGGGGCGCCCCCGAGGCGCCCGCGAGGCGGCACCGCGGCGGCAACGCGGCGACAACCAACCATCCCCAAGCGAATACGCACGAAACCCTCCCCAAAAAAAGCCCGAAAGGCCAGCACTGCTCGGGAGACGAGGGCGAGAGGGTGAACCCGGCTTGGTTGAGGCTTCCCCTCGAGGGGGTACCCCCGTCCGGCTCCGGGAAACCTCATCCTCTCTGACCTGCTGCAGGCTCCCTGGAGAGGGAGGAGAGGGAGGGGGAGGGCAAGGGCGACGAGGAGTGCCCTCTGCTCCCTCCGCGAGCTGGAACATACGACAGTGGTGACGGGGACGACGTCGGAGGAGGGGAGTGAGGAAGACAAGGGGAACGGGGAGAAGGGGGAGAGAAGGGAGGAGGAGAGGAGGGAGGTGGAGAGGGGTGAGGGAAAGCTAGGTGCGCTCGCGTCATATCTGACGTCCTACCCCTCCCTCCCATCCCTTACCATGGCGTAGACCTCCTCTCTATTCGCGCAGTCAAATATCTTAGCAGGGCATAGCATTGCATGGCATAGCATAGTGTTGAAGATCAAGGTCTAGCATGACATAGCATGGCGTGGCGACGCCCCAAAGTGGGGGAAGGAGGGGCTTCTGCGGCCCCAAAAATCAACGAATCGACCCCGAATGTGCAATCATTCCCGATGGTTTTTTCGGGGGGGCATTTTTTAGATTTAGGGGCTTAATTGGAAGGACCGAAAAACATGTCGTGGCATGGCACTGGAAATAATGACGCTAGCGCTGCAGCGGGAGCACGATTCGGAACGAGCGGAAACGCGGAAATGAGTCCAATGCTTCAACGGGAGCACGATTCGGAACAAGCGGGAGCGCGGAATTGAGGCCAGCGCTGCAGCGGGAGCACAATTCGGAATGAGCGGAAGCCCGATAATGAGGCCAGCGAATCAGCGGGAACAACATCTTGAACAAAACCCTAGCGAAAACCATGTTCCCGGGAATCCTGCGTAAAAAGCCACACGCGGAGGGGGGGCGGATATCTCCCAGACGTCATCCGGGGAGAGAGGAGAGTAGTAGTATTCACATTGTGTAATTGTAGAGGCGCGCGTCAGCACAAGGGGCTGAAGAGGCCCCGCTGGAACCAAGCAGAGAGAAAGGGCCATCCCTGCAGGTTCGATGAAACAACACATCGTTGAGCCGTACTGCAGCCTCCCCTGAGCACGGGCCCCCACCAGAGAGCATCAGCCAGACAAATCGGGTTCGCATCCTCATGCCTTACTGGACTCTGGGCGCGTTTCCGCACCCTCTCTCCCAACCCCGTCAGGGCCGCCGACAAGGTGGACGGCGCGTCCCAAGCCCCAGCCTCCCTGGAGCATCAGCCGATAAGGGAGGAGGAGGAGGAGAAGGAGAAGGAGGAGGAGGAGGAGGGAGGAGGAGGGAGGAGGAGGGAGGAGGAGGAGGAGGAGGAGGAGGAGGAGGAGGAGGGCCCGAGTACACCAAATTTGCAGAAGAGATAGTGCAATACACCCTTCCATCCGAGGTCCCTTCCCCACACGCCCCAGGGAGTCCTCATTCTCACTGTCAGAAGCACGTCCCTGGAAAGACCAGCACCATTGAGCCTGCCGTTGCACCGAGATCCCACATCTGAAGACAATGGATTGCATCGTTCTGACAAATAATCAAGAACGCGGGAAACGATGATCACACACGTCAGCGAGGTGTCCAGCGAGATCCCCGTTTCGAAGAAAGACCGCCCCCCACCCCACCCATGTAACACGTTTACGACTGTTGTCAGGGACTTCAAGTAAACTTTCTGCGACAACTCAAGCGCTAAGCTACGCGCGTTGACGTATCAGGTTTTGTTTGCAGCGAAGTCTCAGGCGAGAAACGTTTTGAAACAGAGCAGGACTCAATCCTGATAAACGCTGAATTTAAAAATGCGCGCGGCGCTCAAGAGCGAGCCCGATGTTGAAAACTGCCAGTGCTCGTTCCTTCAAGCTATCGCAAGATATTGAAACTAGGGCTCGCGGCTCTACGGCGGAAACACCACTCTGAAAACGAACCCCCGCCCACCCGTGAAATTGCTGCTAGCGCTGAAGACGAATGCGCGCGTAAGGCGACAGCCATATCTTGAAGACGACCCCTCCTCCCCCCCCCTACATCAACGAACCCGCCTCGAGCTTTCAAGACGGAGGTGCGCGGCGCCGTGGCGAGAGCCGCATGTTCGAAAACGAGCCGCCCTCCACACGCGGAACTGCTGCAAGCAGAAAACTCAACGAGTGCGCGAGGCGCTCGGGCGAGAGCGACATGCTGAAAAAGAAGAAGAAAAAAAACGCCCTCCATCCACGCAGCGGTTGTGCGCATTTCGGACAAATGCGCGCAGCGCTAAGGCAAGAAACCATCTACACAAAATACAGAGAAAAAAAAAAAAAAAAAAAAAAAAAAAAAAAAAAAAAAAAAAAAAAAAAAAAAAAAAAAAACGCTCCCTCCGTGAAGCTAGTGTCAACGTGTAAGACAAATGCGCGCGGCGCTGGGGCGGCAGCCCCATTTCGCAAACGGCCCCGCGCCATCCGCGGAGCGGTTGCAGACGTTGAAGACGAATGTGCGCGGTGATGAGGCTACAACCACATGTCGAAAAGGAGCCGCCCTCCATCCGTGAAACCGCAGCGAACCTTGAAGACGCGAGAGCACATGCTGAAAACCACCCCCTCCCTCCGTGGAACTGTTGCAAAGCTCAAGCTTCAGGGTAAACGGATGGAACAGAGGAAGGATGATTAACCAAAAAAGGACTCCTAACCCTTTGGGAATGGACCTAAGTTAAGAGGGATAAAACATCAGGTGCAGAGGGACCTAAGTGAAGAGGGACTTAAGTTAAGAGGGACCTAAGGTAAGTGCAGATGTACCAAACCAAACCGCCCAGAACTATAATCCCTAATGCAAGGACGGGGCCCTCAGTTCAGTGAGGCCACGTCTTCACTCTGTTATCAGGGCTAAAGCTTCTTCTATCCTCGATGAAAGGAGGAGCAGAGACACGAGGAAGAGGAGGGAATGAGGGAGGAGGGGGAGGGGGGAAGAGGAGGCGAGGAATGAGGAGGAGGCGGAGAGTCATGAGGAGAAGTAGGACGAGGGGGAGAGGGAGGAGGAGGAGAGGGAGGAGGAGGAGGAGGTGCAGGACGACGACGACGACGACGAGCGGCCCCTTTCGCGAGCAGGGAGCACGTCACCCCCGGGAGCGGCCCGGCTCCTGCCCCGCCAGCGCCGAGCTCAGCGGGCTCCACCTCCCCGCGTCCTTGCGGGGGGGGCGGCGGCGGCGCCGACGTCGGCGACGACGACGACGACGATCAAGACCAAGACCAAGATCACGACCAAGACCAAGACCACGGCCAAGACCAAGACCAATAGACGAGAGCGTTCCACGACTCACAAATGGCCTGGACCCGCTGCGGGAGATCTACGATCCGCTACGCCGAGGCGAAGACGTGCTTTTCGGACGGTTGCGAGTAGGCGCTTTGCGCGTAGTGGAACGCGGTCGGTGGACCGAGAGCAAGAACAAGAGAACGACGACGCGACGGCGACGACGGCCACAGCGACCACAGCCACGGCCACGGCGGCGGCGACGGCGATCGCGGCTCATGCCTCCAACGTCGCGGTCTCCGAAATCTTGCAGGCGCTTGTGCCTTCCTTTGGGGGCCTCCTCGGGCACCCCTCTCGGGCCCACGGCCAGATCCGCCTCGACACCCTGCCCAGAACGCAACACCAGGATGGTTCTCTGAGTAAAACTCGGGAGGAGGAGGAGGAGGAGGAGGAGGAGGCGGGCCCAACCTCCACGCAGCTGCCTTTTCCACGTCTTCGGCCCGCGAGTGCCGGTTCCAAAGAGAAGGAGCCCCGAGGGCCGGGGCCCGGGTCGCGAAAAAGAGCCGGTGCGTCGGGTGTCGAGGGACACACACACCGGAGGCCGGGGGAGGTTGGCACCCGCACCTGCGCTGCGTCGGCTGTCGAACCTTCCAGCGAGGGAAGGTGGCCCCCGGGTCGTCGATGGTGGCGAGCTCCAGGGCTCCCAGGCCGCCCGGCGGCGCCAAGGCCGACGATCGCCGCCTCCCCTGCCAGAGAGGCGGGCTCCCGATGTGCCGGTGCTGGGTGCCAACGTCTGGGCCTCCGAAGCACGCCTCCTGAGATGACCGATGGGGGTTGCCAAGGGGACAGCGGGCGTAGAAATATGCTAAGGTGGGTTAGATCTGGACGAACCACACAAAATACTCAAAAAAATTCAAGAAGATTCAAAAATCCTCAAAAAAAAATCGTCCACACATTGATTTCTACTATTTTTGTATGTTTCTTCTGCAGAGGGACACGCCCGAATTGAACCTAGCTTGTTACTTGGGTTACAGATGCCTCAAGTGGCTGAGGGAGGTAACGATCAGGGCTGAGGGGGCTCCGCCCGCTTAGAAGATTTACGCAACAAACCAAACCACTTTAGGGCCCCCGTAATCCACTGACAAGCCAGGCCGGGCCAAACATACCCCACCTGAACATCCACTCATATCCCCCCGATCCGCTTAGCAACCGCCACGGTCATTTCAGTCCCCCTGCTCCTGTCCCGGCTCCTTCTCGCGGGAAGTGGGAGCAGCACATACGGTCGGGACCGACTGAAGGGGACAGCCAAGGGAACGCAAGCCCCTCCGAGGGCAACCCGTGCCCCAGACACGAAGAGGGCATGAAGCGCGATAGACAGAGCATGAGGGTAACCTTGGGGTCGTCGAAAAAAGACACAGGGTGTCATGGGAAGAGCCCTGGATTCTGGGAGCCGGTTCCCTCAGAGATCCGTTTCTAGGGGGCCACATGCGAACCCTACCCCCTGCCCCCCACGATCTCTGAGGGGGAGGGGGGGTTCACTTCGCTCGCAAGCCCCCGTCCTTCGTGGCAATCGTAACAGGATCCGTCGGCACCGGACTGGCGTCGGAGCGGCCCCCATCGGCGCGGAGCGGGAATCGACTCGGCTCGGCCGCACCGGGGTGCACAGCAGCGCCAGGTGCAGGCGTTGGATGGCCAGGATGTCGGGATCGAATCGGATCGAGCCAGCCGAAAGCGATGTCGGCTCCTTAGACGACAAAGCTGCATAAGCATAAAGTTTCCGAACTCCGTTCGGATCGCTTGGATCGGCACTGGGGGCGGCGTCGGAAGCGCCGCCAGGGGGGCCAGTGCAGATCAGAGAAGTCCGCGCAGACCGTCAAGATGTACGATCATGAAACATGCCGTTGTTCTTCTTCGAGAACCAGATCGATCGAATCGAAGTGGGCCCTGGCAATTCCAGCTTTGAGGGGCAACGATAGGGGGGGACTGGCATAGGGGGGATGCATCGAACTGGAATCGGCAAGACATCGCCGATAGATCGGCGATAGGCTCCGATAGCAAATCCGCACCTTCCTGGGCAGGTTGGGGCAATCCGGCCCCTATCGGCGATCAAGGGGTCGATGCATCCCCCCTAGGCCTATCCCCCCCTTTCGTTGCCCCTGAAACCTGCTCCTTCCTCATCCACCTCGCAGGCTTCCGGTCTGCACTCCGCTGGTTGCCCTCCCCTCCAGGGAGGGCGATCGAGCGGATCGAGCTGGGATCAAATCGGATCGAGCATGAGTGAGCAGAGACACATGCACAGGTACGCTCTCCGCGGTCCGCGCTGAGCCCTGCGTGCGTTGTTTTTCGGTGTTGTACGTGGTGGATACTCTGTGGCTTGTGTGCTGACTTGTGTATAGTGTGTGCTGTGGTGTGTGGAGTGTGCGCTGTGTCTTATGTGATGTGCGCGGTGTGCCGCGGGTGTGCGTGAGTTGTTGAAGTGAGCATGTATGCCAACTGTGCTGCGTTTGCGTGTCTGAAGCTCGTATATGTGAGTGTGTGTATGTGGCCGTGCGATGCGTCTGATCGTTTACGTTTGTGCCTCGGCGGCTCGCTGGCTCCGCCGCCCCCTGCCCCCCCGTGTTGCGGTCTCTGTGTGCGCCGGCGGCTGCGACCTCCGCGTGCTTGAAGTCCGCTTGCCGTAGAGGAACAGAACAAAACTGCATTGACATAAACTGTTGGAGGCCCGCGCCAACTTCTCGGATCTGCGTTGGGCACCCCCTCCCTGGCGCGCGGAGCGCGCCCAGGGTGGCGCCGGAGGCGCCGCCGGAGGAGTCCAGCGCAGATCACAGAAATCGTCGCGGAGCTCCGAAAGGTTCTGTTTATATCCCGAGGGGGCCACAAAACGTGTGAGGGGTGTGCCACATCGGGTGCGGGTACGCCATGCGGACAGTGCCACTGGGGCCTTCGGTGGAGCTTCCTATGGGGTCACAAAACGTGTGAGGGGTGTGCCACATAGGGTGCGGGTACGCCATGCGGACTGTGCCACTGGGGCCTTCGGTGAAGCTCCCTATGGGGCCACAAAACGTGTGAGGGGTGTGCCACATCGGGTGCGGGTACGCCATGCGGACTGTGCCACTGGGGCCTCCAGTGGAGCTCCCTAAGAGGCCACAAAGCGAGTGAGGGGTGTGCCGAATGGGATGCGGGCGCGCCAGACGGACTTTTTGGACCAAAAACAACCGGCACCACCCTACCTACTACCCCACGGGCCTTGGCATATACCATGACTTCCGGCTCAGGTTTTTGCGTGGTATACGCTACGTCCCTCGATGGGCCGTAGCGCAACATGGCGGGCCGTAAAGGGGGGTAGTGTCGTTTTTGTATAGTCGACCTGTTTTGCCATTCGATACACACCTCCCCGCCCTCTTCCCTCCTGGTTTGGCTGGTCCCATTTTACCTGCTGGTAGCGGCCTCCTGCTCGGTACCAGCCCTCCCATCTAGCATGCGCATGCGTGACGCTGCAAGTCCGCTTTCGAGTTCGCATCGGTTCGCTGGCAGCCTCGATCAAGTAGAGATCGAACCGCTCCATCCTGTCTCAAATTACACGTCACAGCTGGTTTGGGGGCTCCCTCTGAGGTCGTTTCCACCCTCGAGCGCCGTCCTCAACGCAGGTTGGCAATTCACATCGACGTAGACCGTCTTGGAATGGTGGCGACTACTGTGTCATGTCGCCGACAGAAAGAGATACGTCGGTGTTGTGAGCTGCGCTGTGCAAATTGTAATGTGTGTATGCGTGCGGTGTGGTGTGGTGCGCACCGTGTGTTCATCACGTATTGTGTACATGATGAGTATGCATGTGGCGCGCCGTGCATGTTGTACTCAGTGTGCTACGGGTTGTGCTGCGTTCTGCGTTATGATGTGTGGTGTGTTTCGTGCAGCGTGCATTTAGCGCATGGCCGTGCGATGCTTAGGTTTTGTATGTCACAGGGCGTGTACTATACCAAGGGCGTTGTGCGGTGTAAGTTGTGGCGTTTGTTGCACAGGTGTGTCTGCGTGCAGCGTGTGATGTCTGCTGCGTGTGATGCGCTTTTTTTCTGTTTCCAGCCATTGGCTCAACCTGTTATTAATTATCCGCTGTAACTCTGTCGGTCTCTCTTGACCGCACAGCTGGTACTTCACCTTTCCGAAGCCTGCGCAGGGCCCGTTTCCCGTGAACTGTCGGTCGGCCCTGGCAGGGAAGAATGAGGTTCCTCGCCCCTTTTTGGGCATAGAACCCGCATTTCAAACAGATCAAAGTCCCATACAGCTGATGGACTCCGATTGCGTGTGAAACATGCAGCTCGCGGCCGTTAAAAACCTGTCTTCCCGCTGGTGCGAGCACCACGTCTCTCATTAAACTCTTCACACAGGGAGTGTCAAGGAAACGATTCAACTCTCTCCTCGGCGCGGATCCTCCACACTCCCTGCATCTCACTCTGGAGCCTAGAATGTGTGCACCATTGTGCTCTGTGATCTGGATACTGCGCGCTTCCCTCTCTCTTCTCTCAGACATGGCTCTCCTACCGGGCTGATGTCTGGGCACAGTCTCAATCACATTATCTAGGACTTTGGCCAAATGTTTCCTGACCGAAAAACCTACAGCTGTTGCCACTTCCACCCTGCATCTGTCAGCAAACGAAACTCTGAACTCCTCAGCTAGTCTGCTCGCTGCGGTGTCCGCGATAGCGTTTACAAAGAGGGTGGCAGGATCAACTCTCTGTTCGATCGCCTCCTCCGCATTAAGGTGGCTCTCCACCTTCAGCACGCGAATTCCCCTGCTTGGGTGCTTCGCCAGCGTCTCTCCAAGACGCCGCCAGACATCTACATGCGTGTCCGGAAGCCTTCCTACTTTTAGCTTCTCGACTCCCCGCATGACATACTCTGAGTCCGTCACATATATTGCGTGCGCCAGCGGAAGGA